GCGTTCCGGATCCGAGCTGGCATGGCCGTGCCAGGAGTGGACTGGCTTAGCACGTCACTAGCTTAGCTTGGGCCACCCATACGACCTCGCAGTCTCATAGACACAGCCGTGGTGGCACTTTTCATGCGGCAGCAGGACTCGTGCAGCGACGTGGCATTCACGGAACAGATTTCTGCTCCTTGGTGCTCCTTCCGGTTGAATGAACACGAAACTTAGCGGTGGGCAAAGTTCAGGCTCCTACGAGGCTTTCATGAAGTATATCCCCACTGTTGCGTTTTCTTCCTTGTTTGCTTTGTGGCTGCTCTCACCCTCTCCGGTGATCTGTCCCAGTGACTTCCAGCATCTCTTGGCCTTTTCCGGATAACAGCCAACAACGCTCAAACATCCCAGAGAACCCCCTTTTTCCTTCCCATCGTTGCCTTCACTGCATCCCAGCGTCCCTGTTGGCACCACTGTTTTTCCTGGGCGCTCTTAGGGACTCGTCACCTCTGGTCTGCTCAGTCGTGGGACGGCCGCTGGGAAGCCCCATGCTCTCCTGGAATTTTTGCCAGATTTGTGGTTTCTGTTGATAATCTCCTCAAATTCTGCTGTAGTGTAACAACACAATGTCCCAGCTGGGATCAGGATCCCGTTGTACAGCGGAGAATAGGGACACAGGGAAACTTCTTATTCCATGGAGTGCTAATAGTCTGTGTCACTTCAATAAAATTGCGAGAATCTTTGTTGTTCTGAAATACATTAAACTGTTGTTGCTCTTGGCAATCCGCTGTTAACCCTCTTTCATGCTGTGATTAGCCTTCTATTCATACTTTGTTTCTTGTCTATTAAATAGATTTTAATTGAAAATAGGACTTCAACTTTGTGCCTTGTGGCTTCAAAACTAATTGATTCTTCTTGAAAGCATAAAGGAACCCTTTCCATCAGGCATGGGGTGCATTAGGCTTTTTTAATGGAGGGACGCACAGGACTAGGGTTGGCACCATTTCCAGGCAAGTTAAATTACATGCACCACTTCTCCTTTGTCTAATCTTTTGTTTCTGCTATAAAAACAAGTCTTTAGACTTGTTAGAGAAATTACTTACAAATGTTGTGCTGGGTTTATCCCTGTTACGTTTTACACGTGTAGGTGTTTCTATAACACAACTCATTCCTCTGTGATTTTCTCAAGTAATTTCCCATTGTATTGATCCAAGTGCCTTTGGTTTGTACGTCCTGGCAAAGGGAGTAAGAACTTTCACAAAGATAAGCCATCCCTTTCTTGTACCCAGCAATCATTAATTTGGCTTAGTTTTGCCAAAAGGTATGGTAAACATCTGGATTTATTGCCTCAAGTATTGAATATTAGCTAAAATATGGCTGCATCAGTATGGAAGAGACAGTCCGGCTATTCTTTGCGTGTATTCCAGATATGTTAGTGATACTTGGAAATGTCGCATTTAGGTGTTAATATGAAACACTTGGTTTTTTCATTGTAAAAGGGAAACGAAGTTAAAGTCCAGGAAAAAAATTGTTAATTTGCCTCCTGAGGAGCTGAAAAACTGAATTTGAAAGGAATCACTGCAGCTAAAATGCCATCCTGTACATTTCTCCCTCTGTCTGGTCGTCGTTGCTTTTTAACATAGCGTTGGTATGTATGCCTGCAAGTATGTGTCCACATGACTATATTCATAGATAATTTATTTATTAGGTTAAAATTATATTATGGAAATAATCATAGCAGAGCTTATTTCCTCTTCCACTCTTCCTCCAAATCACTACCTCAGTAAAAATATATAGGGAAACAAGATACTTTAGAACCCAATTTATTATCTCCTGCTGGTAGCAATAACCTGAAAATAACAGCAAATAGTAAAATTCGAACTTGAGGCAGACTCTGGTGCTGGAAAGAGCTGTAGTCGCATTTATAAAGGATAGATTCAATATTACAGCTGTAGAAATGTGCAATGTTTCAGAGGCTCCCAGATTAGGACTTGATTGCTTTTTCAACTTTGTTCTATAGATTGGGAAGAACACAGGATTTTAAAAGGTACAAACAAACGTAATAAATAAGCTGCTACTTGAATCAGAGATATTGCTTCCCTCTCCCACTCTTCTTTTCCCTGGCTTCTGCCTTTCCCCTTCCCCCCAAAAAAGTGGCTAATATTTTTCCAAGGAAAATAATTCTACAAAAAGCACTTTTTCTATACAAATGTAGGAAAAGGCCATTACAGAGTCAATTATTGAGCAAAATCAGAAGGCTGTCTGGTACATGAAGACAGTCCTAGCTGCTGTGTTCATTGTAGGGGTAATGTGAGGTTCCTGAACAGGGCATCCCCAGCCAGGCCGTCTGTGCCTTTGTGGAGGCTGCAGTGTGTCAGAATTTTGGCATTTAAAAGGTTCACGGAAAGAAGTCACCTTATAGATCCTTAAAAAAAAAGAAAAGAAAAAAATGAGAAGATATTTATTACAGTATGAAAGAATAGCAATAGAAAGTGACATCACGCTTTTAAAGAAAAGTGATGGGGATCAGAGTTGTCAATCAAATGGCTGAAGAAGGGATGAAACTCTTTTGTAGAGAACCCCACTGGTCCCACCCCATCATGTCGTGCTAGAAAATGTGGCTCTTTACACCTGCCTGGTTTTGAGAAGGATGCCATTGTATATGCATTTATTAGTGCAGCTTGTTTGTTTTTGTTCTTGTCTTATTCCTGAAGACTTTCACTGGAGGATTGTAGTCAGTGTAGAGTGAGTATTAACTGGCCCAGACCTAGAATATATTTGAATGTTTGAGTGGAATAGTCTGTGTATTTTCTGATTTACATTTTACAGAATATATAGAATTACTTAAGGAAGTGTATAAACAAGGAGGCTTATTCCAGTGACAAGTAGGATGCTGGTCCTGGGAAAAGAGTTCCCAGTGCTAGAATTAAATAGGGCATCAGCTCGAGGGAGGAAGAGGAGCAGGAACATGGTTGGCAGAGAGAGAGATAGGCATGGATTTCCTCCAAAGTAGGAAGGAGTCTTCCATGAGTCTGGGGTGGCTGGTAGGCTCAGCCTATCAGCAAAAACCTGCCCCTTTAACTCTTTGTAATCAATTTTTCTTTCTTTTTTTTTTCTTTTGTGTTTTTTTTTTTTTAATCCAAACTTAGTTTAAAATACCCTTGGCACCACTGGTTGGAGCTGGTTAGTTTTCAAGGCAGGAGAACCAACCTGCTTTATCTGGTGACTTCCACGTTTAGATGGTTGAATTGCAACACAGAAACAATCTGAAAATCAGTGAGGGGGAAAGAGCCCTTGCTAAAGATGACAGCTTGAGTTCAAGCAGAGTAGAGCCGGACTTCATTCCTCAGGCTGACCATCTGCGCTCAGCTGTATTTCATTTCTTCAAGAGAACTCCCCCAAAACGATACAGTTTTGCAATGCTTGATGCTGAAAGGCAGGTTAAGCCATGCATGAGACTCCTTGGTAAAATAAATGCTCTTATCCTTAAAACTCTAATATTTATCTCATTCTGTCTGTCACTTCGCTTGCAAGGTCTCTAGAGAAGATGTGTTTGTGTTAGCGTTCAGGTGAATTGGATTTATGCCACCTTGTAATCTCTAAATGAACATGTCAAAGACCTCACAGTGTCTCAGAAATGATTCAGAAAATGGTCTTTTTTGCTAACATACTATCTTTCAGGTTAGAATTAAATCACATCTGTTGTTTAATCCAGTTATTCTGATGAGTTGAAATCATAAGCACTGATACTGGTCTGAAGTCTCAGCTTCAGGACGTGCAAATCAGAATTTATTGGGGTTTTGAGCACTGAAGTCTTGTGTTTTAAAAAAAAAATTGTGCTTTTCTTCAAATGATTTGTTTTAAAGAAAATGGTAAAATATCAGAAAAAGCAAAAGATTACTCATATATTGGGCATATTTTTAAAAATTCTTTTCAAGTCGATTCTGTGCACGGAAGCAAACGAAAATAGACATTAAAAATAAAAATGAGAGTAAAGCAAATTCGCTAGCTATAAAAATTAATGAAGGCTTGGTAATACCATGGCAGAGTAAACTCAAACAAGCCTTTGCCTTTTGAAAGACTACTTTGATATTGATTTATCTATAGAGACAGCCAAATTCAGCCCATAATGTAATTAAAACGCAATATCATCTAATGACTCAGAAGACAGATTTAAGAGTCTTTCCCCTTCTTCTCCTTCCTCCCTCTGCCCTGAATGAAAAGGCAAGAGAAGTTAATTGAAACTAGAAATCTCTTATGATAAGTGAAAATTCAAAGGGAATCAGCTTTCCAGATTTATTGTCAGGATCAGCAGAACTGGTCCTTTGGCCGAGTTTGTAGCCGGCTCATCTCGTAGGTGAAGAGTAGTGGAGACGGGTGCCGGCGATTCAGGTAAACGTGTTGCCTCCCAGGCAGGATGGGTGCTTTCTGTCTGTCTCTGTGTAGAAAAAAGTGAGAGCTCTGCTAAATTTTATTAAAAATAGGCGAAGAAAATTCGAAGGTCTGGATCCTGAGTCTGTAACGTGGAGGTGGCAGTGCCCCTGAAGAGGATGGGTACGGGGAGATTCCCCTGTGCTCAGGCTTTGGTCACCTGCTTCTGCCTGGCTCCTAGTTGCAGTGTGAGCTTTTTGGATATTCTTCTTACACGCCTTTCTCTTCAGTACGGCGTAAAGAGGTCTCCGTGGCCATAAATGCGGGGGGATTAGATTCCAGCTTGTTGCTCCAGCATTGCAGAAAATCAGCACTGAATTTATTATTAAAGCCCCCCTTTTACCAGTAAGCACAGTCCTAATTGGCCTGCTGAATGTGGATGATGTAGATAAAAGTTTGTGTGACTTGCTGAGCAGAGGATGAACTTTTTGCTCTGGGAGGTGACACGCTAAAAAAATACTGGTTTTTGGTACGTTGGGGAAAGCTAAGGCCAGCAGTAACCTTCAGAGCTCTGTGTGTTGGTCAGGGCAAAGTTACAGCGCTGCTTTTCTTTTTTCCTTTCTTTTTTTTTGTTTTGTTTTTCCTCTTAGTGACTAGACCAGTTGATGGGAAGCTGTGCCAGGGTGCTGCTCCCT